CGGTCCGAGTCGGGGAACTAACGCCCTAACTAGCCGCCAGGCCTGAGGGGGCCCAAGAGCGGTGGACCAGTGCTAAAGGGAGGAGACTGGCAGATTTGAGAAAGGAACTGCGCACTGCCGGATAGTTCCAAGGAAGCTCCGTGAGTCCTCGAGGAGGTGCGCAAACACTAGCAACAATAAAAAGGAAACCCTTGCGGCATCGAGGGGTCCCGTACATGCGCGGTCCCTGTGGGTCCGCAGAACCCGATGCTCCACGTAGGCGGCGCGGGGGCCGGGAGCGCGCTCGGAGGGAGGGCGACCCACAAGGGGTCCCGCCTCCCATCTACGCACTCCACACCCGCCCGATGGTCCTGCTCAGCTTGTTGGGGGGCACCCACCTTCGAAGTCTGAAATGATCCCGTCCAGCTGTGCGTTGACCGCAGGGTCGGACATGGTGGCTGGTGGGCAGGGAGTCGCGCGGAGGGCGGCGGGGAGAAAGCACCCCCGGCCGGGCCCTGGCCCTGCGCGCTGGCTGGGGCGCCGCACCCGCGCTCCTGCAATGCAGAGCTCGCTGCTGGAGCCCCTCGGCCCCCAGGATCGGCTGAATGAATGGGGGAGGAAGGCGGGCGCCAGCCCCTCCCCGCGCGCGCGCACCGCCCCCGCCCGCCCGGCCCGCCGCCGCCTGGGCCCCCGCCTCCCGGGCGGATCAGGTTCCCGCTCCGGGTGACGGCGCGGCCCCTCCCCGCGCGCGCGCACAGCGGCGCTCCCGGCTCCCCGCGCTCCCACCCGCGGCCCCTCCCGCTCTCAGCAGGATCCGGGCGCCAGGGCCCCGGGCACGGAGTCTCGTGTCCCGAGCCGCTGCCCCCGAGGCCGGGGACTGGCCCGAAGAAGAGGCCGAAGCCCAGAGCGCATGGCGCGGCGGCGGGCGCAGTCGGAGTGGCGAGGCCGGCGCAGGGCGGACGCGCCTGACAGCTGCGAGCCGGGGCGCCACACCCACCGCCCGCGCAGCCCCCTTCGCCCTCCCCGGGTCCACCCGCCCGCGGGCCACGCGCGCCGCGCCCGCCTCCTTGCAGCCCCAGGGCCTGCGCGCCCCAGGTAAGCGGCCACACACCTGCGGCCCGCGCCCCGCACCTGCGGCCCGCGCTAGCCCGAGAGGCCAAGTGGGAGGAAGGGCCTGGGGCCGCGAAGTTTGCCCCCAAGAACACAGTCGGGGGTGGGGCAAGATCCGGAGCCCTCCAAGGGGCCAGGAGCGTGCGCGCAGCTAGAGCCGGCGACGGAGTTGAGGAGACCTCGGGAACCAGGGAAGCTGGAAGGGGTTCTTCACTTTCTGCCTCCCGGGCAGTGGAACCAAGAGTGGCCCTAGGGAGTCGATAGGGTCACCAGCGCCGAAGAAAAGGACTAAGGCACAGGACATCTGGAGAGCTCTGGGCTGCGGAGGGCCATTCTGCTCTCTCTCCACTGGGCCGGGACCAGGAACTGGGTTGCCATCCCCACCCCACCCCGGCCTGGAATGTCCCCCCTGGCCACAGTCAACTAGAAGGAACCTGGGTACCCTGAGCGAGACTCGAGGTCAACTACTCCTTAACGTTGCTAAATCAGTTTGCCAGCGGTGTGGTTGGGGTCCAGCCCCGGCAGCCGAACCCCGGCAGCCTCCCATTCCTCTACACCCCGCTCCTACTCTGTGTTTCCCTCCATTCCCCCCTTGAGTCCCCGGCTTCTTTTTGTTTCCAAATCTCAGTCTCTACTTCGTTTGAGTTGGAAGCCGCACTCCTCCACCCCGCGTTTGGGCGCCCCCTCGCCGCTTTCACCCCCCTCCTGCCCCCCGTGGCATTAAGTGTCCTTAATGGACACGTTAATTAAACTGTAATTAATCATACTGTCCAGCCCAAGTTTGAACAATTACCCTAATCAAACAGAAGTTAATAATGGCAGGGATGGCCCGGGGCACGGCGGGCCGCCCGGGCAGAGAGCGCAGCGGCCACGGCAGCGACCGACTGCGGTAGCAACGCCGAGGTGAGCGCAGCCTGTCCTTGGAACCCGGGTGCGCTGTGCCATAAATCTTCCGCGGGTGGCGGTCGGGGTCGCTCCTCCCCCGCCCACTCGGATCCTTTCCGCTCCGGGAGGTGGACGCCCTCTCCCCTCCCGCGTTTCAGCTCCCCTGGGGTTGTCTCCCCTTCTCCTCTCCTTCTCCGCCTCCCTCTGTCCTTCTCTCGCGGCTCGAGGCGACCCCGGATAGGTCTGAGGTGCAAATAGATTGCCCAGCCCTAGTGGGGGGGGGGCACCCCCATTCCCGCCTGTATGCCAACGCTCCGAGAACCTCTTCTAAGTTGCAGGGCTCCGTGGTCTCTTCTAGGCTGGTTCTTCCTTTCACCTCCCCAGGTCCTCCCCGCATGCCTTGTCTTCAACTCTGAACCCTGGAGTGTCCCCCGGCCCCTGTGCTTTCTCTGCTTTGGCCCTCCATGCTGGAGCATCTTTCCAGTCTGGGTCTCTGTTTGGGGCCAACTCCGCGGCTCTCTGTGCCCATCCCTTCCCGGGGGCCCACAGGAACCTATTTTCCATTCCAGCCAGAATGCCACCTCTAGTTCCTGACGCTCCCCTGGCCCGGACTCTCCAGCCCCATAATTACAATCCGCTTGGTAATTATTCTTAGCCTTTTAATGATTTTTTGAAGAGGAATCTCGGAATTCGACCTGGTGGTGACAATGATCGCGAGGCCAGGACGCCCCTAGGGTGGAGGGTTGGGGCGGAGAGCACAGGCAGTGCCTGGGGCAAGAGCCTGCCCATTTGGCCTCCATTGTCCTGCGAGAGCCGAACGCTCCCCCACCTCCCGTGTTGAGCTCGGGGCATCCCTAAGAGCACCCCCCGCCCAGGGCCTCCCTTGTAAAGGGTGACTGCTAAGCCGGACTCTTGCCTCGGAGGCGCACAGGCCGCCTCTGCTCCCAGTTCAGCACCGAGCTGCGGACAGCTCCTCTTCCGCGGCCACTGCGGACCTAGCGCCTACGACTCAGGACTTCTCTGAACCTGGACAAAGAAGCCGCGCAGACGGAGGCTGGGGTGCCCCATGGCTTGGTGCTGATGTTGAGAGGTGGGGCTCTCATGGGGTCGGGATTGGGGCTCTATTCTTACTGGAGACCTCATTTTACCAGGCGCAGAACCTGTTTTCACAGTGGCCAAGGGAATAATAATAAATTGGGAACATTTATTCCCATTTCACAGGTAGGAAGCTAGGGTCAGGCAGTGGCAGCCCCCACTCTAGTTCTTCAGTGAGTAAGACACAGAGGCTGCTCCTGACCCTGGGTGTGCCCAGCACACTGTATAAAGGGCCTGGCCTGGTGAGGTGGGCAGCCCCAGGATTCTGTTCTGCACTCGTGACTTTGTGCAGCAGAAAAGGCTTTGCCAAGCCAGGTGGCTGGTTCAGATTCAGGGACTGGCAGAGCTGGGACTTGAACCCAGGTGCACATGGGGGATAGCACCCTTCCTTCTCAGTGTAGCCTTCGGCTCCAACAGCTCTGTCCTGAGTGTGGGGCACCCGGAGGAGTCGCCGCGCTTGGCTTCCTTGAGCCCCTCCTTAGTGGGGATTTGTGTATCTTTTATCAGCTGTCCAGCGGTGCCCAGCATCAAAGATCTGGACTTGAGATTTGGGGCGCTGCTGGGGTGCTCCCTGTAGGCCCTCGCCTGGCCTGTCTTGGAGTCTCGGGCACCTCGTTTGCACGTCCGGCCTCAGCGCCGGTCGGGGCGCTGGCTTGGGTTGGAGCTGGGTGGCCGCGCCTCCTCCGCAAGCACATATCTTTTACCAGTTGAATTAACGGCAGTTTTCGTCAGTTAATTAGCTTTAATTTACATAATTAGTACAGTATAAAGAGGATTGGGGATAATCATGGGGTACGTAGCGCTTACTGTGTAAACACGTATTCTGAATTAAAAATCAGATGTAATTAAGGCGCGCAGGCCCTGTTTAGGCAGGGTTTTAATTGTAATGAATTTCTAATTAACACTCAATGATTGCCAAATGCAAAGGGCTGTAAAATTTTCTTGTAGTTTTGCTAATTTATTGTTTACTTAATATCTGGATAATAATCCGACGGCCAGATAGACCGCAGCCCGGCTAGACAGCAGTGGCCCAAGAAAGCGAAGGCAGCGGGGCGGGGTCTCCTCCGCCCAAGCCTGGAGTCTGGGCAAGTCGGGGGAGGGGCCTCGGAGGGGCGCAGAGGTCTCGGTCTCTGCACCCCGTCCTCTCTGTGGCGGACTGAGGTATGGAGAGAGCCGGCAGGCTGCATGTCCAGGGGTCCAGGTTCCGGCCCCAGATGAAGCTCTCTGGGATCAGAAGTGAGATGGCGCTATTCCTGCAGGAGACTCCTGCGGTGGGCTCAAGGGTAGGGAGTGAAGAGTTGCGGGCTTCATGGGCCAAGAGTGGGCTGACTGCTGAAGGGCCGTGGACTGCGAGTCCATCCCAGTGTCTGCATCTGTCGGCTAGGCCCAGGGACCAGCGCTTAGTGGGAGTGAAGGATTCACACAGGGCACCCCCAGACCTGCCCTGTAAGCCTCTTCTTGCTTCTGGGGCTCGGCGGAGGGGCGGGGCTTGGGTGTCTCGGCTCGGGGTGGGAGGTGAGGGTAGGGGAATGGGGCACGGGCAGCAGGCCTCTTTGGAGGTCTCCTTCCTACTGTCGGTGCCGAGGGGCTCTGAGTCTGGGTCACACAAGCTGGGAGCACTGGAAGGGAAGTCAGGACCAGCCTTCTCTGCCCCGCCTGGACCTTGCAGAGGTGCGAGAGGGTGGTCAGCAGCCCCTGCTGGGCTTGATTTCCCTGAGAGCTCTCCCTCCCGCTGGGTTCCCTAAGCACTGGCCACCTGGGTGAGAACTCTTCTCCTGTGGGTGCCAGCGTAGCCCACAGTCTCTTCTGGGGCAGCTGGGAGACTGGATCCTCGGAAGTTTCCTACCAACCTCAGGAATACACCAAGAAAATCCAGTATGGCAGAGGCTGCTGCCCACAGAGCAGGCCCCCACTGCCTTTCTCCCCAACCCCTTTTCCAAGCGCAGAGATCTTGTCTCTCCAGGACCCTGTGCAGTTTCCCTCTAGCCAGCCTTTGGCTGGCCATGCCTCTACTTGGTGGTTGTTTTAGTCTCAGCATGGGATTGCTTGTGTATTGTTCCCGTGTTGCTGATGTGTTTTCTGTGTCTCATACTGGAATTTGTCATTCCCTGTTACCACCTTAGAACAGGGCCTAGCACACAGTGAGTACTCAACCTGTTTGTTGAATGGTAAGTGAACAATATTTGAGTGTGAGGGAAGGGAGGCCCAGCCCAGGGTTGTACTGTGCTGGGTTCTAGTGGCCAATCTGACTCTAATCTTCTTGGCTCCCTGGTGACTTGAGTCTTGGGACTCCCACCCTCCACCCATCCTCAGGCAAGGCATTTAGGTCTTGGAAGCTGCTGGCAGGCCTGCAGAGCTTCTCCCGGGTGCAAAGGGCTTTCTTCCCAGCTCTTCCTC